CTCCCCAGCACCATCATCACACCCCAAAACCTTTCAGATCCTGGCTCCACCCCGTCATATAGTCTTTTCTCGGCTGGCAGGGAGTATTGGGGTATTGTTGAGGTTTGGACCCGGTCTCACTATCCAGATTTGGCTGTCCTGGAACTTATTATGCAGACCAGGCTGGCCTTGAACTCACAGAATTCTGCCTGTCTCTGTCTCCCTAGTGCTGGGATTAAAAGCATGCAACATCACATCTGGCCGTGTTTTGTTTTGTTATTGTTTGTTTGAGAGTTGGGGAATAGCTCTGGGTGAGCTGGGATTCACTATGTAGACCAGGCTATCCTCAAATTCAAAAAGACCTGTCAGCTTCTCCAGTGCTGATATTAAAGGCATGTGACTCTATGTTTGACCAATCCTGTATTCCTTTCACCCTTCACAACACACTGAGGGAATTTTCTCCTGAGGCAAAGGAGAAACAAACTTGAAGGCTGGACTGTTGCAACCTTGTGATATGGGTACCATGGACCTGGGAATTGATTCCTGGCTTGGGTTAGACATGGAGTCTCCCCCAAAGCACTCTTGTTGAAGGCGTCACTCTAGCTGGGCAGCTCTGTTGTGAAGTCACTAGCTCATGAGGACTGACCTAACATGGAGATCGACCCACTCATGACTCATGGTTGGATGCATTCCTGGGGCTGAAGGGCAGTTTGTTGAGGTATATATTTAAATGAAGGCCACTGGATGGGCCGACTATCTATGTGGCGCAGCTCTGCTTAGCTCAGGCTGCCATGAGCCTTGGCCTGAAGCCAAGCCAGTTCTGCAGCTGGATGGGGCCAGAGGCCATGCGTGTGCCACAGCTAGAAACGGCCAGCCTGAAACACCAGGCCTGCCACCCACGAGACACCAGCGTGGGAGACGGCTCTGACAATCTTCCACAATGTCTCCACAAGGCTAGGCTGAGCCCAGACCATCCTGCCATCCACTCGGGTCCAGTAGAAAATGAGACTCTAATGCTTAGGTTATTCAAAGGCTTTATATGTTGGGTAATGCTCAATAACAAGATGCCCACACAGTCAGAGGAGTAACCTAATACCCAACCTAGCTACATCAACTACCTTTGACTGCCAGAAACCTGTGAATGTCTGCTTCCATGTTCCCCTCTCTCTAGTCCTCTCCCCCCACCCCCCAGCTCCTCCTCTTCCTTCTCCTCTTATTCTCCTCCTGCTTTCCTTACTCCTCCCACCTTATCTCCTCCCAACTTACAGGAAAACTATCCTGCTACAGGGGGTGTCTCCTTTTTTAATGTTCCCCCATGCATGCACGTTTACCGTGATGTCCTGCCTCAGTATAACCCAGAAAAAAGGTATACTGTGGCCTGAAGCCAAGAGTCAGAACGAACCTGGAGATCTATTTATTTGCAGCAAGGAAAAGCCTCCTATACAGATGTCTAAATCAGGTTTGTTCCCTGAGGGACCACCATACCTGTACTAGAACAAGGCAGATCTTGGTCTAGCCAGCGCTCTTCCATGTTCTGTGAGCGCCGTTTTCTGTGACTCCCCTTCTCTCAGATCTGTACCCCGAACCCCACAACACTGACAGACCAATGGCCTCTCACTTCATGAGACAGATGAGACCTCAGCTGCACAGGACCAAGGGCCTATCCAGCAAGCTCTGGGGGACCAGAGTCTTGAGGAATCTCAGGGCTGGATTATTTTCCAGACCTTCAAGACCCTGGTCCTGTCTCACTGCATGTCATTTCCCTAATATTTCTCCACATACATGAGGGGTCACCAGGGCTTTTGAACTCTAGAAAGGGAACCTGAAACTTGATGGGGCCCAGGGACGCTTCTCTAGGCCAGCATCCTGACAGAGCATGTCAAGTCTCTCACTGACCCAGGTGGGACCTGGAGAGGAGGGAGTGGACTCCGACTGGGGCTGAGGGCTTGGCTCTGCCTGCCAAGGTGGACGCTACAGGGCTGGTTATGGGACTCTCCTGGCTGACTGGATTTGGGGTATGTGCTGACAAGCAGGTCATCGGGGGGAGGCTTGTCAGCTTTACAGTGCAGCGGTCCCGTCTGCAAAATCTTTGACCACTGGGATGCCCTTCAGAGTCACTAGTGATGGACAGGAGGTTTCCTCCACCAGCCCAGTAGCTGTTACCTCTGGGAAAGGTAGGGGAGGTAGGGAGTCCACACAGTCATGCCAAAGCGTCCACTTCACTCCCTCCCCTCCCGCTCCCGCCAGCTCTGAGAAAACATCAGAAGGTACCCTTAAGGTACCTCAGCCTTTTTATTGTGTTCAATAAAAGCTGCCAGTTACTGGGGAGAGAGGCAGAACAGGTCCAGGGGTGAAGGTTGGGGACACAGGATCAAGTCTCCAGCAAGTCGGTCCAGTGTTCCTGTAAGGATAAAGAGTCGGTCAGAGGTACTCTTAGGAGGACTGGGGGAGGCAGGGCCCGGTGTCACCTCTCACCTCCTGTAATTCCAAGTCCTCTTCCTCCTCGGTGTCCACGTGGCACTGCCCAACCAGGTTTCCCCAAAGGAGTGACTTCTTGCAGCTGCCAAACGTGCAGTTGATGGAGATGGCAGAGTGAGGATTCAGTGAGCCAGGACTGGCACATGGGGCACCTCCTCCCCAGGCCTACACAGGCTGGGAAGAGGGCCTGGACTCACCTAGGACAATGGCCCTCTAGGGGCAGAAGCTGCCCAGGCTCCTCCTGCAGGAACTCCTCTGCCAAGCAGATGATATGGGCCCTTAGGGGACAACCAGGGTGGGGGCAGCACAAGGGGCCCTCTTCATCCTGTCAAACGTGGAGGATGAGGAGTAACTTGAAGTAACTGAGAACAAGCAACACACGGCATACGAGGCAAGAAAGCGACAGAGAAAAAGCAGGGAGCACACAAAAGAGCTGTGACTTCAGAAGGAGGCCAGGGAAGATCTCACAGGGTGGCTGGTTGTCCATTCAGAGGCTCTAAAGGCCCCTGGCAGGTCCTGACAGGGTCGGAAAGAGCAGAAAGAACCGCCCTTCTCACTAGACATGTGTCAGGGTGGTCAAAGTCCCAGGTCCCAACCGCTATGGCCCTTACCTGCAGCATATGCGCACACAGAGTGCAGCTGGCCTTGGCACCTAGTTCCAGCTGTGGCTCGCTGTCAGCCTCACTTGCAGTGGGTCGTTTTGGGACCAAGGGCTGAGGTGGTGGCGGTCCAAAGGCAATGGGCATGTGTGGTGGTGGCGCTGGACAGAGTTCATGGCGGAAGTCAGGGCGCAGCCAGCGCAGTGTCAGAGGAAGGCGCACCCACGGAGGAACTCGAAGCATGTGCGCCAGCACCCGCAAGTGGAAGGCAAAGGCAGCCTCACTGCGCAGGCGCGGCCCCACGTGTGTCAGGCGGCGGGAAGCTTGAGGATGTTGCCAGGCCCATTCAAACTATAGAAGGAGACGACCCAAGACAAGGTCAGGGTGGTCCCTGGGAAGGTCCTCTAGACAAATCAGTCTAGCCCGCCCTTAAGACACCTTTCTTACCCGAAGGGCGGCCACAGCAGACGGGAAACCGTGTATGATCAGCACCATATCCCTTGGAAGGAGAGGGCGCGGCCAGTGAGTCCCCATCCCAACTCAACCCAGTTAGACGCTGAATCTTCAGTTCACACTCAGAGCACAGCCACACCGCTTCACACCCGGCCATTAGAACTTGAATCTTTCATGGAGGCGTAGGACCCTGTCCCTGCCAACCTCAGGCTCCTCACCCAGTCCCTGATTCCTCTCCTTTGGAAGTTGTACCCTAGCCCCAGCCTTGTTCACCAGGGCCCCTGTCTCCTGATCCCGGTCTTTGAATCAAGTTTTGCTATTGTGTATTAACTGCACAGAATAATACGTTGCATCGGTATCCTCCTACTTATGTAATGTATTTTGACATTACTTATTAATCACACACACGCCCCTTTCTTTTTGGTCTTTTTCATTCCAAATAGTTCTCTTCCCACTTTCTTTAAATTCCAAATGGGAGAAAACTTGAGATATTTGTCGGTTATATCACTTAGCATGATGATGTCCAGTTCCATCCACCTTCTCATAAGTGGTATAATTTTACTCATCCTGCGTATTGGCTGGAGAGGTGATTCAGTTAGGGGCACTTGCTCTTGAGGACGACCTGGGCTCAGAACAGTTTGTAACTCCCATTCCAAGGGGTCTTGCGCCCTCTTCTGATATCCATGAGCACTGCATGAACTCAGTGCACTTAGGATGAAGTTAGTTTAATTAAACACACACACACATACACTCACACACACACTCACACACACTCATTAATCAAATAAAAATAAAAGGTTTTTTTAAAACATGCACATTAGCTGTGCAGTGGTGGTGCATGCCTTTAACCCCAGCTCTTGGGAGGGATAGGTAGTTGGATTTCTGAGTTCAAGGCTAGCGTGGTCTACAAAGTGAGTTCCAGACAGCCAGGGCTACACAGAGATACCCTGTTTCAAAAAAGAAACAAACAAACAATCCCCCCCCAAAAAAAACCCATGCACCTTGAATATGTCCCATGTTCTTCACCCATTCACCTGTTGATAGCACTAGTGCTGGCTAGTTTTATGTCAACTTGGCACAAGAGGGAACCTCAATGGTAAAAATTCTTCCATAAAATCAAGCATTTTCCTGATGTGAGAAGGCCCAGCCTCTGCATCAGCTCTTGTTTGAGTTCCTGTCCTGTTGTCTTCCAGTGATGAACAGTCAACTGGATGTGTAGAGGAATTTTAATCCAGCAACATGGCTGCTCTGGTAAGGGATACATCCAAAGACCTAGGTCTATATGATCAGGCTGGAATGCCAACATGGCCTGGATCACAGTAAGATCTGCTGGAGTGCAGACACGCCCTGTAATCCCTGACAATGAAGGTGAGGTGAGTTTGTAGAAGCAGCCATGTTTGAAAAATGACATCTAATTAAGGGGCAGATGCCCAACTTGCAGGAGAATAGCACAGGAAAGAGAGGCTACTTACGAACTGGCGGGGGGAGGTGTGTATGTGTATGGAAGTTTGATCAGGGCAGTTTTACTACAGAGACAGGTTGCAGAGAGAACAAGTTAGAACAGGTGAAGACAGAATAAGCCAGAGAATGAGAAGGAGCCGGAAGATTAGAACAGATTGTAAAGCCGGGCAGTGGTGGCGCACACCTTTAATCCCAGCACTTGGGAGGCAGAGGCAGGCAGAATAGGAGGCCAGCCTGGTCTACAGAGTGAGTTCTAGGACAGCCAGGTCTACACAGAAAAACACTGTCTCGAATAAAAAAACAACAAACAAATAAACAAACAAAAAGAACAGATTGTCAAAGTTAGTATGAGACCAAGCAGAGCAATTCAGTCAGAAGCTGAAAGAAGTGAGATTGAGTCAGCCAGCAGTATATAGGCACAGCTTGGGTATGGCTCTTGTCTCATCCCTTCATCTGAGAAAATAAAAGCACATTTACATGGAACTGTACACAAAATAAACTCTTTCCTCTCCAATAAACTTTTGGTAATGGTGTTTCATCACAGCAAGTGAATCATACGAAGTGAATCAGGCTGGCAGGCTTGAATCTTGCACTGTCAACCTCGCGGAAGAAGGCAACAAAGGAGTTCCTGTGATCAAATAAATAGTCTTCCCTCTCACCGTGTCTCCTGGGCCTCACTCGTCAGACCCTCTTGCCCTCCTCCATCAGGCACGTGGGATTGATGTCCACAAGAGGGAGAAGGTCCAGTCAGCTCCCAGTGGCATTTATTTTTTCAGGTAAAATACAGTTTATCTTACTGTTTTTGCATGTTTGTACTTTCGGTTCTTTTTCACTGTTAGGACTGATTGGTTTCCTGACTGGTGTTGATAAAACCCTCTAACCTATTCTCATCCCCACCCTATTCTTAGCTGAGATTTCCACTAGGCATTCGACAAGTAGATTGAACACAGCACATTTTACTCTTTTTTTATTTTTTAACAAACAATCACTCCAAAGGTCAAAGGGTTTACAAGACACTTTTTAAAAAATTTCATGTATATGAGTACACTATAGATGCCTTCAGACACACCATAACAGGGAATTTGATTATATTATGGATGATAGTGAGCCACCATGTGGTTGCTGGGAATTGAACTCAGGACCTCTGGAAGAGCAGTTGGTACACTTGAACACTGAGCCATTTCTCCAGCCAACGTTTTACTCTTGAGATCATGGTGGGCTGTGTCAGCTTGCCTAGGTTCCCAGTATAGCCATATCCACTCACAGTTCACAGCGGAACGTGAAGTCACAGCCTTTCATTGTCTTAGCATAGTGAGCATCAAAGCGCTCATTCTGGGCTACAGTGAAGGTATTTTTCCAGTCCCCAACGATACCTAGAGAGAGATGGTGAGAGAGACAGAGACAGAGACAGAGACAGAGACAGAGACAGACTGAGACTATGAGTAACAGCCACAGGAGAGGACCTTTGTGACTCTGAAGATTTTACTGGCTACATCAAACCTCCCTTCCTCAAATACTTCAAATGCCCATCCCAGTCTACTACCCACCTTTTCTCATGAAGGGAGAAACATCCTGGTCCATAAGTTCACTGGGGATGGTTGTGTAATTAGTCATGGGGTTCTCCTTCATTTTCTTGAAAGATGTGTGGTGAACAATGAAATCCACAGTCTCCTCAGGTAGAGAGCGCCCCAAAAACTCAAGAATCTTCTTGATCTCCCTTTTGGGGTTCTGGAGCAGGAAGAGGATCTCAGTTGGGTTGCTAGATAGAGTAAGGTTGGAGAGTCACCTGCAGGGAGCAGGTCACTTCTGCTAAGGAATTCTCAGGCCTGGTGCCTTGACTCTGAGCCTCTTACCCTGGGGTAAAACAGGTAGCTTCCTACCCTGCCATCTTAGCATGATCGCTGTGGGTTCCTTCTGGGAGAGGACAGGTGTAGGAGGAGCTAAGGTGGGAGGAGTAAGGAGAGAAAGAGGAGGAGTAGGAGAGGAAGAGGAAAGGGAAGAGGAGGAGCTAGGAGAGGAGAGAGAGAGAGGGGGGAGATGGAGGCGGGTGTTCATGTGTCTGTAGCAGTCAAAGGTAGTTGGTATATCTCGGTTGGGTATTGGGTTACACTTCTGATTGTATGGGTATCTTGTTACTGATCATTATCAAATATATAAGCCTTTGATTAATCTTTAAGCATTAGAGTCTCATCTTTCTACTGAGCCTGCTTAGATGGCGGGATGGCCTGGGCAATGCCCAGCCTTGCGGAGACAGCATGGAAGATTGGTAGAGCCATCTCCCATGCTGGAGTCTCATGGGTGGCAGGGCTGGTGTTTCAAGCTGGCAGTTTCTAGTTGCGGCACACATGTGGCCTCTGGCCAAGAAACATGGCAGCTGAGCTAGGCAGAGCCGCTGCAGCTTAGATAGTCTGCTGATCACCAGACGCTGATTTAAATAATTATTTCAACAGACAGAGACAGACTTTGGTCGCTGGTGCCTAGGCTTTGCATCTCTGGAGCAGTGAGAAGCAAGAACAGCAAGCCACCAGATCAATGATGGCACATATGACTGACACGTACTGCATGATAAGGGCTGTGCAGTGTTCTCTGTGGGCTGTGCTGTGGTCCTGATCAGGAGGTAGGACAGGAAGTGCTGTTCTGCAGTGGGGCTAGGATGGGACGGGGCTCAGAGGGCCAGGGCAGGGCCAGGTAAGGCTCCTGCCCAGCAGGCGTGGCACAGAAGGAAGTGGGGGCAGCGGGCTCACCTCCTTTATGTCTTCATAGAAGAGATAGAGAACAGGGTGAGTGTGTCTCAGCTCCC